TCTCTCTCTCTCTCTCTCTCTCTCTCTCTCTCTCCTCTCTCTTCCCCTCTCTCTCTCTCTACCCCTCTCAGTTTAAAGTTTAATGCATAACTACTGAACGACAGCTTGATAATGCTGTTATTTTTTCCCATGATGCTCTCTGGCTAATGGTTGATTATCTAGTTATGTTTATTGATCTGGATTTCCTTTCTAACCTCTTAAATGTCGGCTTCTTGTCTCGATTTGCTCCACTTAAAGAAAGCGTTCAGATTTCTGGCCGAATTGAACTTTATTTACTCAAACGTGACGCTTCACTGCTGAGAGGTTTTCCTCAGGGAGCGTCCTGGCAGCCGGTTTGGACTCTGTCTGAAGTGAGCAGGTACCATTCCCATCCAGGAATAGCTGCTGGCTGGAGCTCAGGCAGAAACCAGAGAGACTTCAGGAGCCCAGCAGGAAGCTCACATCACCGTCCAGATCTCTTTGTTTGGTTTAAAAAAGAGCAGAATAAGGATCTGAGTCACCATCGGCTCCTAAATGACAGAAACTGTTCCTGCGTTTCTCCTTCAGCTTCAGATTTATGGCACAAAATTAAAACCTCAGTTTAGAAAATAAAATCCAGGATTTTCATCCTTATTTTCCCTGAATGTAACTCTTAAAGGGCCAGTGTCATGTATTTTCCAGGAACACAGTGCCATTTTATACCACAGCCAAGTAGCTTTTAGCAACTTCAGTTGTTAAAAAATGCTGTATAAATCAAACAGAAATTTAACATTGTAAATTAATATCTTGAAAATGGGTCACTGTCCCTTTAAGAAGCTCCAGCTCTTTCTCAAGCTCCAACTTCAGGATGTAATGCCAACATGGCTCCTTTATTAACCCTTCAATGTTTTTACCAGTGTAGCTCCTACAACGAGCTCAGCTGTTCCAGCAGCTGATTGCTGCTGGCTAGTCTTAAGGAACTGAGTGTGGGAGGGCGACTGAGAGGTGGAAGCTCTGAGGAGGAGCTGCGCCTGGAGGGCGGGGCTTGGTCCACCCGGGCGTTTTGCGCAGCTGCCATGGAGAGTGATGTTTACTAGAGGTCAGAGGTCAACGGCTGGTTTACATGTTGTGTCACTGAGCTGCAAAGTGGAGAAAACAGAGATGAACTCCACATTTCAGTGTCAGTAAAAAAATGATTTCTGTTATAGATTATTCAGCCGGTTAATTGGATTTAAGAATTAGCACATTTTGCAGATTTTTTATTTTTTAAGCGCTTCAAACTTTTAAATAAAATATTAGAAATACATTAAAGATGCAAATAAAGAAATAAGTCAAATCCTTTTAAAATAAGAAACTAAATATTTTATTGCCTGAAATGCAACAGCAGTTTTCCTTTTCTGGAGATTTGATCATTAGCAGGACTGATCTGGTGATTGTTAGATTAACTGATAATAATATTAATAATTTAGACACAAAAGGAGATTAATGTGAGATTTTTTGCTACTATGCTACATTCTGAGTAGAACAGATTTACAAAGGAATTTTATTTTATCTTAAATTCAAAATGTATTTTTTCACAGTTTTGACTGAACTGCTGCTCTGATTCAGTCTGACTGAGTCGTTCTTTCAGCAGTTGGTTTTTATTCTCCAATTAACAATTTATCAATTTATAAATAATCATATTACTGATGGCGGCAAAAGGCCAATCAGTGCTTAATTATCAGTTAATCTGGTTACCGAGCGACTCCCACTGGTTCCCAGTTAACCATTTAAACTGATTAAATTCCCAGATCAGCGTTCTGACTGCTAACAGAAAAGAAATGTGTTGGTTCATTTTAAACTTGGTGGGTTTAAATGATGCGGCGAGGCGTCGTTTGGTTCTTCTACCCACTAAGGTCCAACTGGGAGAGAACCAGTTAAACCAGGACTGAGCTCACCTGGTGAAGCATGATGGGAATGTTCAGAGGCGTTCGTGTTCAGAAGTCAGGGTCACGTTTTTCAGAGGTTTGCTCAGTGAGTTATCATCATCTCTCCTTAGAGGCTAAAAACAAAAATAATGACTAACAGCCACAGTCCAGAACCAGAGGTCCAGAGCCAGAGGTCCAGAACCAGAGGTCCAGAGCCTAACTGCTTCTCTAAACCTCCAGTTTAAAGAACCAATTAGTTTTAAACTGTAAACCAACAGAATCTAAAGTTTTAGCTGAAAACTGGCTGAGTTGAGATCATTTCCCTGGAGCTGAACATTAAAACATGAAATATCCTGGAAACTTTATTCCTGGATGCAGATCATTATTTAACACACAGAAAGGAAGTGACATTTAATGAGCCACATAGTTCACTGTAAGGATGTGAACATAGAAAACACCTTGAGATTTTAGCTAAATGTGGCACTCGTGTGCAAAATGAATAAAAATAAAGAAAACTGGCCTGACCTTCAGCTGCTGCCTTTGACACAAGTGATGCAGAATTAAAATAATATCTGAAGTGATAAATAATCAATATTTTTTGCCATCTTCTGGCTCTGGCTGTTTTTCTCAACGTCATTCTGACTCAGCAGAATCTCTAGATGGTTTTAACACCTGGAAACGGCGAGTCCCCCCAGCAACCCCCCTCTGTTACGGCCCTGCAGGTCTGTCACTGGGGTCAGCTCCCTCATCAGCGCTAACGCACTGAAATAAAGATGGCTGTGTCACAGTTTGCTGTTTGTGGAAGCTAGTCTGCAGGGTTCAGGGTTTTGTTCTGCAGCTGCCAAACAACATGCTGAGTTTATGAAACGACACAAAATTAAATCTTATCTCCTAAAACACACTGAGGAGTTTCCAGATAAACATCTGTGAATGGAAGACTTTGGTCTGACAGGTGGAGCTCAGTAAGACGTAAAAATGATCAAATCATAAAACTATTCACCTCATGCTGGGTAGAAGATGTGATCGGTCAGAGCTGCAGATCAGAGATCAGAACCATTCAGGTTTTTCTCCTGGTTCTGTTCAGGCGGTTCTGCTCGGTTCTGTTCGGATTTTTCACGGACCTATAAAGGGAAATCTGCAACACCTTTACTGTGAAAATCCTTGGGGAAGTGTTGAGTTCCTGCTGAGGTTTGGACAAAAACCAGCATCACTAGAGGCTGAAGTTCTGATGATCAGATGAACATTTACACATTTTACCAAAGTTTTACTGATGAGTTTCAGTTATTTAGCATCTGCAGCACAGTGCAGCTCCGTGCAGCATCTGCAGCACAGTGCAGCTCCGTGCAGCATCTGCAGCACAGTGCAGCTCCGTGCAGCACTGCATCCTGGGTTTTATCTTTAGTCAGTGGCGCAAAAAGGGGGTATGCAGCGCATGCAACACATAGGGGCGCTGCACCAGAGGGGGCATCAAAGCCCCGTCTGGAGGGGGCGGCGTGCCGATGATGTCTTTGCATACACTTCAGCGCGCCCTTAGCTCCTTCACCTCGCGCACATAATGGGGTAAATGTAGTGAGTTTTACTTTTCACGTGTCTTCGTCTCGGGGGGGTAGAGCGAGCGTATGTCTTCTCCGCTCCTTCACCTAGACGTACCTTCCTTGGGGGGGGATTTATGTTTTCGCATCCACCTGAATAATATGTAGCTGCGGCCCTGTCTCCTCCTTGGTTCTGGTTCTTCTCTCCGGAGGAGTTTGGCTCTCAGAGCTTTTGTGAAACAGGATTTTTGTTTTCTCTGCTTATGTAAGAGCGCAGGCTGCAGTGTGTGCTCACGCTGGAGCAAACCCGACAGCTAAACTGATTTATTTTCCTCCTCTCTCTCAGGCAGTCAGACCAAAGCAGCCGAGCGCCGCTGATTTCTTTCTCCCTCCTGCTAACTTTGTCGTCTTCCTGGCTTTGTTTCTGCGTTTCGGCTTAAATCCCGTTCATGAAAGCTGACAGGAGCCCAAACCTGGAAGCCAAAGCTGTTTAAATCCCACAGGAGGAAACCGTCTGAACTTAGAGGAGGATTTCCCTGTTTGCTCATTTATATTCAGCGTTTTCCTGCAGCCTGTTTGAGAGTTTTCAATCAGAGGTAGAGCCTCTCCAACAGCCAGCACTGTCCGTCCACCGTCCATATTAGGTTGCCATGGTTACCAGGCAGCGTTCTGGACAATTAGCTGAGAAATGCTCTCCAGTATAAGAAACATTTCGTGTTTTTTCTTCCTTCGCCTCTGAGGAACTGATCAGTGGAAACATCATGTAAGTTTTACCTCCGGCCTTCTGCTCTGCTCCTCCTCAGTGCTGCAGTGCCCCAAGGTGTGGACGTCCCTGGAGAACGGCAGGGTGACAGCGCGGCCCCCGGGGCCCCCAGCGGAGGGGACAGTCCTCCACTACAGCTGCAACTCCGGCTTCACCCTGGAGGGCAGAAACATCAGCCACTGCACCAAGCTGGGCAAATGGGACGCCCCCAAACCCACCTGCCTCTGTGAGTGTGTGTGTGTGAGACCACCATAAAGCTTATGTTTACATTTGAAAGTATAATAATGAACAGGAAAGCAGCAGCTGTTTGATAACAGCAGATTTAAAACTCAGAATTCAGATTTTTTTCCTGTCTATGAATGCACCACAGCTCCAAAGCTAATTCATAAATCAGCACTGTAAAAAATGTTCAGTTAGCCACTTCTGATGGGTGAGTTCAAATAAATATTTCATAAATTCATTATGGACATTATTGATCCATTTTTGATACTAATGCGTCAAAAATAAAGAGTTGTGTTGTGACGTGCCACACTGCTCTCTGCATTATTTTATTTACAGATATCAGAGAAAGCTCTGATATCTGGAGAGGTTTAGAGTGAATAAAATAATAAAATAAAAAAATAAAATAAATGCTGAAAATCAGCAACAAATAAACAGATGAGAAGATAAATAGTTGCTAATTTACCTTTTGTGACATTAAATAAAAATAAAATCCACAAATGATTCCAAAATAAATATGTAGTATAGTACAAATACATGTAACATAAAATGTATTCTATAAGTTTCGTAGAACAAAACTATAAAACTTAGTTTTATCCTATAAGTTAGGAATAAAACTATAATAAAAAATCAGATTAATAATAAATATAATACATTAAAATGTTAGATATAACTTAATAAAACTATTTGAATCAATTAAACAAACGTAAAATAGTAAAAATCTTTTAAAAAAAATACCAGAGCTGCAAATTCTGGTATCAATTTAATGTTTTATTTTCACTACATAATAGATTATTTATTAATATTATTTCATAAATCCTTGTTGTAATATTAATGAACATATTAAAGAGTTTAGAGTTAAATCCAGCTCCTCCTGCTTCCCTCATCAACTGGAACATCAGGCCTCAAACGCAACACGGAATTACAAACACCTGCTCTGGCGGCCGGTTGCTAGGCGACAAATGATCCGACCAATCAGAGCGTGATCCTCTGAGGGGTTTGTCTGGGAGGTAGAGGGGAGGAAGAGGAGGAGAGGAGGAAGGCTTCGGAGTGAATGAATCCATGAAGACCGGAAGTTAGTGCTTCATTCACAGACAGCAAACGGCAGATGGCTGCCGGAACGTTCCGTTCCGATTAGTGCAAATAAATGAGGATTTATGGGCAGAAAGAGAGGAGAACGATGAAGGAAATGTTGGTATGGTAACCAGTCAGGTTGCTATGGGAATGGTGGTATTTAAGGGGATTATCGGGACAGCTGGAGTGAGCAATCCTGCACAAATGTTAAAATTCTCATGAAGCTTTATGGTTTAATTTTAGATGCAGATTCAGGATAAAAACTGACGTTTAATCTCATTATTCCATCTGTAATAGAAGTTTTTTTAACACGTTTCTGGGACAAATTGTAAAGCAGTTACATAATAATTGGCCTCCTGGTAGATCTGCTCCACATTAATCAACTCTGCTGCCCCCTAGTGGAGCGGATGAGACAATGCTGTTTTTAATGCTGAGTCATTGATTTCTACTTTTTTCTTCTCTTTCTGTTTGCTCACCCAAGATGACAGAAACTACACAGGTAGGACTCTTTTATTACTTTAAAACACTGTTTTTTTAATGTATATTGATGCAACATTTAGTTTTTTAATGTGACTTATTTGAATTATCATTAAATTAGAATATGCTTCTTTTGCACTATTGAATATGTTTTTGTTATTAAAGAACAACTTGATCTGTACATTTGGTCAAATGTACAGATCATCAGTAAATTAATGAAAAAAGAAATTTCTTCTGGGAAATGTGTTTTTCTCTCCTCAGAAGAGATAACTATAATCTTGTTGTCCCCTAGTTTCTGAAGCATTATTATTATTATTATTATTATTGAAGTTTCATCTCCTGTTTGCCTGAAGCGACTAACTGAATCAATCTGCTCAAACTTTCTGCAGTTCCAGAATCACAGCTGTTGAATCTGATTCTGGACATTTTTCCATCCAATCAAAATCTCATAAAACAAACTAAATTAGATTTAAAGATAATCAGATTGCATCAGTGGGGGTTTCTGACATGGTGATATGCCCAGGGTGGGATGTTTTGGGGGTGGCATGAAGCCCCTGACCAAGGAAAGAAAATCTAGTAAAATTTAAATTGTAAAAAAAAAACATTACAATTTAATAAATTAAAATAATTACATTTCTGCTTAGTTCAAGCACTGGTGTTTAACAAACTATTGTCAAAATCACACGTTTTAGCCTTTTGTTTCCACTTTACATCATTTTTTAGTTTTTCTCTCCTTCTTATCGCTGTGTCTCAGTTTTAAAGTTCCTCCAGAAACTTTAGGAAGGTTCCTGTTTTATCAGAGCTGCTGCTTTAAATCTCATCTAAATCCAGAGTTGTGAAGTAACTATGGTTACATTAACATTTTGGAAAACATTTATATTTAGGAATAATTAATTGTACCGTTTAGTTTTTCTTGAGTAATATTTTTATGAAGTATTTCTATTCTTACTTGAGTAAAACGTCTGGATCCTCTGAGAGTAACTTCACTGAATGAAGAGGAAACAAACTGCAGGAGACGCAGACAGACTCGCCTGCAGCATAAAGTCAGACTGCTGCTTTGTGCAAAATGTTTGTTTTTCTAAATTTTTTATTTTTTTTACCTGCTGAGTCTTTCAGCACCAGAAGTTTTTAATTCTGCTCTAAGGTAGTTTATTTGCTTCATAGACTGTAGTAGTTAGCTCCATGGCTGTTTTTAATAATTTGGGAAAGTGTTGCCTGAATCTGTTATTTTGTAATTATGGTATCTTTTTTATTTTTTCATTTTAGTCTTTAAAAGAATTTGGACATACATTTTTGTCAGTCTGACATAATTTTTAAATATTGAATCAGATATTCTGATCAGTTATTCTGTACTTGAGTAACCTTTTAACCCGATACTGTTTTACTCTTACTTCAGTACATTTTTTGGGACATCATATCTGCCTAAATCAGATAATTATAAAACATTGTGTCATGAGGCTGCGGTCTGTGTTGTGGCCACTAGAGGGCAGCAGTGATCTTCTGGAAGCGGTGAGTCCTGAAGAAGTCTGCTGCTCTGATAAGAGCTCTGGAAGCTTTGAATCCTCTCACTTGCTGCAAGAAGAGACAAAAGCTTCTTCTGACAGCTTTTCCAATTAAAGCCTTTTCAGCTGAAGGAAACGAGATTATAGCCCAAGCTCTGAAGTTCGGAAATAATTTGAGAAAGCACTCTGCGTTTCCTCTAAATCCCAACCAGCCCATTACATGGGGGACATAATTGTTCCGCCCAACTACTCCACAAATCCTTCTGATATTACGGAGAAGATTAAAAGTAATTTGCTCATTAGTGGGGGAGTATTTTCAGTTCGGTTAAATTAATTCCCTCATGTCCTCTCTTAATTGGAATTTCAAAGTTTTAATGGAACTTGTATTCTTATTAGTTTGTTGCTGATCATTGAAGCGGCACTACAGCCACAGATATGAAGAAAGCAGCAGATATTTCACAGTTCTCACTCAGAAGCCTGGATTCTGGTGGTCCGGTTTGGCAAATCAGAACCTTTCCTCTGGATTTAAAAGCTAAAACATAAAATAAAATAAAACGGATGATTCACAAAGGGAGATAAGAAAGATCCAGCTTCTGTAAACTCTAAACTTCCTTCAATCAAAGCATAAAATTCTCCTTTATTGAATTCATGCTCCCAGCTGCATCGTCACCATCCTCACATCAGACCAGCAATACGCTGGTCACATGGTCACTCATTGTAAGGAAGTCATAGATATTTATCGGTTTTTACTCAGCGTAGAAAATTAGTTTAAGTTTAGACACTCCACACCAAGGTAATGCAAGAATAGCTGCAAGTCTGTGCAGAAAATGTTTTAGGAAAACTAACATCTTGCTGTATTTTGTCCTTGCCTCTTAAAGGCGTTTGCACACCTGACAGTCTGGTAGACTCGGTTCTATTGGGAACCAAAACTGCAGCGCTGTTCCATTTTCAGCTGCGGTTCACTTTCACTCTGCACTGAGTCAAACAAACCTTCACGAAATGAACACCGCCAGAGTTTGAGGTTTGAGGATTTCTCTCCTCTCCTGAAGCTCGACTGATTCTCTCTGCCAGGCTAAAATCAAAGTAAAACTACAAACATCACCTTCAATCAACAGTACAAGATCCATCCAGTCTGTTTTCAACCAAAGCATGTTGCACTTCGGGCAGCATGTGGATACAGATCCTCCAGTTTTATACCAAAATGTTTCCAACATAAAACTGATGACAGTAATGAGCGTCTTGAAGACCTGCTTAGGTTTTCACACTAATAGACAACATTAATGATGATTTTAAACATTAAAAGGCCCAATATCGACTCAGCTCCAGACTGAAAACAAAACTGAAGGAACCCATTAGCTGCACCTCTTTTTTGTTGTTGTGGCGCCCCCTGGTGGCTGGGGGACTCCGTAGGGTTCAGGTGGGAGATAAAAAGATCTTTGGCTTTGATAGAGTTCTGGAAATTTTTAATATAAAAAATGTTTGTAACCAAAGAAAGATTCTTCAGCTGCCACTGAGTTTCTGTAGAGTCAAACTTAAATTTTGGAGAAGGAATACAGAATATTTGCATAAATGGCCGTTTGTTAGATGAGCAAAATGATAAAGTAAACTTTAACATTTAGATTTTGGAGCAACAGTGATGTCACTAAATAATTAGTGACGTCACTGCCATTTGTACCAACCCTGTCAGCAGAAAACGACTGATTGTTTTGGATAAATCTTCAGCTCTCATTTGCCGTTAATGTGGATTTTGTCGCCACCTCGTGGCGTAGCTCAGGTATTTCAACCTTTTTATCAAAAAACGGACAACAGAAAGTTTAACATTGTTGTAATCAACATTTTTACAATATTTGCTCAATCTGATAGCATTTTTGTCTTTAAAGTAGTAGAATATTTATAAATATTAACTAATTACACATCATTACTGATTCCTCCACATTGTTTAATGGTTATAAGTAAAACAGAGCCGGCCCAAGGTATGAGTGAACTAGGTCTTTAAGCCTCCCCAATAATCCTTAGGTCTGAACAGACTGTAGATCTAAAATTTTAATGAAGATGTTAATGTTTAATATTTTTTCTTTTAAAAAAAATGTTTTTTTGTTACCGTAGTAACGGTCTGATGCTATGAGTTTAGTCTTTTCTCAGTGTGTGAGCTCCAGCATGTCTGTAAATAATGACCAGTGATTCCCATGAAGTTCGGCTGAATTTGCTTCTCCTCCCTGATCCCAGTGACTCTGGATCGAATCGCCTTTTCTGACGCCGATGTCCTTGAATCAGATTCTGCTCAGGTCCCTGTTTGACCTTGAGCCGGCCCTGCCCAGTAGCCCAAGTTCTCCCCTCAGTGCGAGCGCCGAGATGAGCAGCACTGAACCCACAACATAATTTTGGCTCGCGACTTTCTCACAGAAACTTTGGAAATGTCAGGCAGACTCGACAAACAGATAATTAACAAAGCGGCCGCGGACTGCTTCCACAAATAGACATTTCCGAGCGTCGTCTCTGCGCTGACCTCCTCCTCGCTCGGTTCCATCTCCTCTCCGTGTGCCATCACCACCCACTTACTGGCTCCTCAGCGGGAGAAAGGTTAATACCCTCTCCTGTCGCTGTCTGCGCTGCCCTGCTCTCCGGATCGGTGGCAGGAAGACTCTATATTTGTTCCTCTGTTTCACTCGATAACTACTGCAGGTTTGCAGCAACGGAAACATAAAAGAAAGCAAATAAAAAGATATATATAATCATCTTATGTCCAAGAAATCTGCTGCTACTGCAAGAAGAATAAGCTTAAGATGATTTCAGTTAATAATCTACTAAATGTTCAGATATGTAGCCTAAAAGATTAAATCTTTCGTTTTTCACTTCCCATTAAGGGAAGTTTGCAAATTAACATTTATTTTCAGGAATTGATCCATGATAAATTTTACAGCAAAACAAACATCAGTTTGATTTTTTTAGAAGCCTTTGACTTGGTTTAGCGTCACGGTGCCGTCTAAGTGAGCGGCTGCTGTTCCTCCATCGTCTCTGGGAGAAACGGCGGCGCTCAGAGGAAACGCTCTCACTGGGCATCAAACCTGTGGCTGCGCTCCCATCAGCAAAACGCTGTCAGCTAATGTCAAAAAAGGGTAATTTTATTATTGTGTTGTTTCCATTAAATAAGAAATGCAAATAAAATCACATGCAAATAAGTTTGTTCACGCAATATACTTAAAAAACAAGCTGTGACATCATCATCCTACCACTTCCTGTCGTCTCCTTCGTCTTTTCTGCCAGTAGTAACACCCGACTGCTGATCACATGACTCCTGATATGAAAAAAGCACTTCCATTGGATTTTTACAAAAACACTAATTTTGATCACACCTCACTGAGGTACAAAAAATTATCAAAAATGATATATATATATATATATATATATATATATATATATATATTTGTTTTTTTAAATTGGCGTATTTCTCCAGTTAGCGTTAGCTCCATAGTGTCTATCGCTCCAACAGCATTAAATGAATAAAATATCTTGACATGTT